CACAGGAGAACTCATTCTCCAGTCAGGGACTTTCTCCTTCCATAGTTTCATTGAGATCTTCACGGATCAAGAGGTGTGTTCGGAAAAGTGTTTTCCATATATTGTCATGTGATGGCACAAGGTTTTAAAAGATTAAAAATGGCCCTCTGTGTTGTTAGAATTAGCATTGGTTAACTAATACTGATGGTTTTTACTCTTCGTTATAGGCTTTCTTTCAAGACATTTCATTTACTTTAGTTTTGATGTACGTTTCTTCACAAAAGAATTATATTTTCATTTGAGGGATTAAATTGTAGCTTCAAGAAACAGAAAACCAAGGACCATTTTGACAATGGAAGGAGATAGTGTTGTATTTAAAATACACAGTTTGTTTATCTAAGGTGTACATACAAAGCAGTCAAATTTGACAGCTGCTGGCAGCTAAGTAATAAGTGACATTAAATAAAACAGAGGCTATCTGTTGGAATGGTTGTAGTTTTTTTGCACCACCTGTTTGGTTTCTTTACTGTAGTGTTTAAAATTTTTATAGTGAAATCTGTAAATTTTGTGGGATTTAGAGACGAAAAATATAAGAATGAAGCATATCAATGCTGTTTCTTTCATGACTTGTTATTTTGCTGTCTTGTTTAATGTACTGTGTCTGAAAGTTCTCATAGGGCAAGAATCCATAGTAAACAAGCTGTCACACTTAATTTGGCTGCTATGTAAAGTATATATTTAAATAAACTATATGGTTGTGTTTCTAGGTATTTAGTTCCCTGTTATTGTTGCGGCGGTCAAAAGTAAAGAAAAACACAAACAGTCTAGTACTGAGTAAAGTACCAGTCTCTTTATTATTTCCCACAAGTCTTTTTATATCCCATGTTAGCAAGCATCAGAAGGCAGGCAGGTGATTGTATTTTTTAATTAACTATTATTTGTTAGTAATACTGTTGGCAAAGCTCAAGGCCAAAGCTGGAGTTCTCACAGGACCAAACCTAAGCACTCCACAGCTGTCTTCTTTCAGCCAGGTTTGCGTACATACGTCTCCTATCTCAACGATACACCCGTAACTTTCTCAGGTCAAAATCTTCTTCCAAAGAGCTAACAGACCCGCTGTCATCCCTGACAGTTCCCAATATTAAATAGGAGCATTTCAGCAGAGTGAGTTTGAAAGTTGAGCACTGAAAAAGCAAAGTTTGCATGAGCTCCAGTGTGATCTTGTTGTATTCATTTGGGGACAGACATTTAGCAGAGTCTGTTGCAATAGGACAAGGCGTAATGGTTTTAAACTAAAAGAGGGTTGATTTAGACTAGATATAAGAAATAATTTTTTTTACAATGAGAGTGGTGAAATACTGGAACAGGTTGCCCAGAGATGATGTAGACCTGCAATAAGGTCATCATCCACCTAGTGGATGAAGGGAAAGAGGTGGATGTAGGTTTTCTGAATTTTAGTAAGGCCTTTGAGATTGTCCCTCACAGCATCCTTATGGACAAGTTGTCCAACTATGAGATGAGCAGGTATATGGTGTGCCGGGTGAAGAACTGGCTAAAGAGCAGGGCTCAAAGGGTTGTAGTGAATGGGACTATATCTGGCTGGTGCCCAGTCACTAGTGGTGTTCCTCAGGGCTCACTTCCAGGGCCAGTTCTGTTCAATATATTTATCAACAATCTGCATGCAGGAGTTGCATGGACCATTAGCAAATTTGTTGATGATACTAAAGTGGGAGGTGCTGTTGATTGTCTTGATGGACGAGAGGCCTTGCAGAGGGATCTAGATAGATCAGAGCATTGGACAATGAAATTTAACAAGTCCAAATGCTGGATTCTGCACCTGGGACAGAGTAAAACCAGATATGAGTATAGATTGTAAGAGGAGTGGCTAGACAGCAGCTCTGCAGAAAGGGATCTGGAGGAACTGGTTGAGAGAAGTTTTACTGTGTTTTTTTCTTTGCTTTTTTACAGACAAAGCCATGTCTGACCTAGTGGAGATTTATTTATATTCATATAAAATGGTTTCAATACAACAAAGAAAGATAGAAAATAAGTACTTTCTGCTTCATTTAGTTATTGGTTTGATAATTTTTCTGTAGATAACAGCCACTTTCTTTGGTGCATTTTATTATTGGTAAGTGCTGAAAATAAATTACCTAACACAAAGAAAGGAAGCAAGATATAGACACACAGAGGCCCACAGAGATCTGCTGCAATCAAGTATCTTTTTTTATATATTCATTTCTTCTGCTGATTCGGTTTGCAGTCCATGACTTTCAAATTATTCAGCTGTAACCTAATCTATATCATCTTTATGAAAAATGTTCCTATAGCTTGAACTCACAATTGAGTGTCTGCAAAGAAGGTTGTGATATTTTGCATGATACTACCACGTGGGTATGTTTTGCATTGAATTTTATGCCTGAATTAATTCTATAATGTTTACATAATTTGATGGTCTCTTTGTTAAAAGCAAATACAACAGAAATGGGCTACATTTGATCTAATTTCCTGTAAAAAGTCAAATGTGTCTGTGGAACTGGGAGAAGATATAAAGTATATCATACCCTTTCATGTTTATTTGCATATTTATGTGGAACCACCAAATATTGCTTTTTAGTTCAGATTAGAATAGAGCAATAGCTCTTCATACTATGGCATAGAACTTATTGTTTTCTGTGCCTTTATTTCAGTAGATCATTTTGGTACTAGCATGTTGTTGTGATTTAGGAATGGTACTACCCAGTTTAGGTGACCCCACCAAGACTCTCCCAAACCAGACACTGCTCGCTCCCCCTCCCCCCTCCCCGAGTGAAAGCACAAAAGGCAAAGATCATGGGTTAAGAACAATTTACTGGAAACAGCAATGAGATAAGAAAACGAACAGTAACAGCAACAATATTAATAACAAAAGGTATAAGACAAAGAAATTATTTGCACAGGAAACCATGACAAATACCGACTGGCTCTTCCTGACCATGTTTGTATCCTGACCGGAAAAGGGATGCCCTTCTCTTCCAAAACCAGAGAGTCATTTTCCCCCACCTCTGGCAATGATGTGAGGTGGTATCAAATAACATTAGGGTCTGGTCATGCCCCCCTCCCATCTACTGTAAAAAATTAACCCTGTCCTGGTTAGAACCAGGACATTATCCATCCCTTATTCTTTACCATCTACGGCATGCCCAAATCCTTCCAACTATATACATATACTTTTATATATATAAATATATATACACACAAGTACAGGTATCATTTCCATAGTCAATGACTGTCCCACCAAGATGTCTGTTGAGTTCATTTAGTTCATGACTGTGGGTTCTATATGTCCTAGTTGTCTTCCAGGGCAGCAGAGCTGGTGTGCTGTTGGCTGGTTGCAAGCTGCATCAGGAGTTCATGACTGGTGTATCTAGAGCAGTTCATCCTCATTGTCCATGGTAGTTACAGCAGTGTCATTCAGCAACCAATATTATACAATTCAACATTACAGACTGTTCTCACCCAAAAATCAAATCCCCTTGAGGTACACATTATGTTTCCCCATCCTTCTGCATTTCCTATCAAGTACACCCAGGTTCTTGAGCAAAAACAATCCCACAGATGGGTTTGCCTTTGCTTGAGGCAGGACTACTCCAAAGTCTTCCCTAACACATTCCTCATATGCACCATGGGGACTTTATCCCCTTCTACAGTACGTGGAGGTTTGATTGGGCAGGGTCAGTTCAACTGGTAGAGCATGTAGTGTTAACTAACCAGGTGGCCTTCGCTAAATGTGTATCCCAATGTTTGAAGGTCCCACCACACATTGCTTTCAATGTGTTTTTTAACAGTCCATTGTACTGTTGCATGATAGGGAATATGATATACCCACTCAATACCGTGCTCTCTGGCCCAACTGTCTGAGGTTATTTTTGAAATGTGTCCTGTTCTCTGACTCAACTCTTTCTGGGGTGCCATGTTGCCACAGGACTTGCTTTTCAAGGCCCAAGAGGGTGTTCCAGGCAGTGGTGTGAGGCACAGGGTACATCTCCAGTCATCCAGTGGTTGTTTCCACCATTGTGAGCACGCAGCACTTGCCTTGGTGTATCTGTGGAAGTGTGATGTAATCAATCTGAAAGGCCTCCCCACATTTAAATTTCGACCATCATCCACCATACCACAAGGGTTTTACCCTCTTGGCCTGCTTGATTGCACCGCATGTTTCACAGTTATGGATAACCTGGGAGATAGTGTCCATGGTTAAGTCTACCTCTTGATAACAAGCCCATCTATATGTTGCATCATGGGCCCATCCAAGCCAGAAATAATTCACCCTTATGTCGCCAGTCCTGATCCACCTGAGGCACTAATCTTGGCAGTCCAATCCACTGGTCTGTTGTTGCAATGTTCTTCAGTAGCCTGACTCTTGGGTATGGGTGCATCTACATGACGGACTTATACAGCCAACCTCTCTACCTGGGCAGCAATGTCTTGCCACAATTCAGCAGCCCAAAAGGGTTTACCTCTGTGCTGCCAATTGGTCTTTTTCCATTGGTCAATCCACTCCCACAGAATATTTGCTACCATCCAGGAGTCAATGTAGAGGGAGAGCACTGGCCATTTCTCTCGTTCAGGGATATCTAAAGCCAGTTGGATGACTTTCAACTCTGTAACCTGACTTGATCCATCTTGTCCCTCAAAAGCTTCTGCAACTCACTGCATAGGACTCCATAAGGCAGCTTTCCATTTTTTATGTATCCCTACAATACGTCAGGAAATGTCAGTGAAGAGAGCATATCACTTGTCATTTTCTGGTTGCTGACTGTATAGTTGGGCCTCCTCAGCACATCACCTTTTCCTCCTCCAGTTCATGGTGACTTCTAAGGTCCCTGGGCAATTGGGATTTCCTATTCAAGTTTGCTGTGTGCTCATCATGATCCACTTACTCCATGTAGCATCAGTGGCATGATGTGTGGAAGGGACTTTCCCTTTGAACATCCACCCCAGCAATGGCAGTCGGGGTGCCAGGAGGAGCTGTGCTTCAGTGCCAATCACTTCTGAAGCAGCTCAAACCCCTTGATAAGGTGCCAGGATCTCTTTTTCAGTCGGGGTGTAACAGTGGTGTAACATGCCCTCGAGTCTCCCTGGGTACTTTTTGCCAGAGGCTCCAGGAAGGACCATTCTCCCCGGATGCAGTGTAGAGCATATTTTTTACATCTTGTCCTGTCCTGACTGGTCCAAGGGCTATTGCATGAACAATCTCCTGTTTATTTGTTCAAAAGCTTCTTGTTGTTCCAGACCCCACTTGAAATCATTCTTCTTCCAGGTCACATAGAGAGGGTTTACAATCTGATTGTACTCTGGGATATGCATCCTCCAAAAATCCACAGTGCATAGAAAAGCTTGTGTTTCCTTTTTGGTGGTTGGTGGGGACATAGTTGCTATTTTGTTGACCACATCCATTGTAATCTAACTACATCCATCTTGTCATTTTACTCCTAAGAAATTAATTTCCTGGGCAGGTCCCTTGACCTTACTTTGTTTTATGGCAAAACTGGTCTTCGGGAGGATCTGGATTATCTTCTCCCCTTTCTCAAAAACTTCTTCTGCTGTGTTGCCCCACACAATGATGTCATCAATGTATGGCAAGTGTTCTGGAACCTCACCCTTTTCCAGTGCAGTCTGGAACAGTACATGGCAAATAGTGGGGCTGTGTTTCCACCCCTGGGGCAGTCAGTTCCAGGTGTACTGGGCACCCATCCAGGTGAAAGTAAACTGTACCCTGTGCTCTGCTGGAGTGGAATGGAGAAAAATACATTAGAAATGTCAATGGTGGCATATGATTTTGCTGCCTTGGACTCCAGTTCGTACTGAATTTCCAGCATGTAAGGCACAGCAGCACTCAGTGGTGGTGTGACTTCGTTCAGGCCATGATAGTCTACTGCCAGTCTCCACTCTCCGTTGGACTTAGGCACTGGCCATGTAGGACTATTAAAGGATGAGTGAGTCTTGTTGACCACTTCCTGGTTCTCCAGTTCACAAATCATCTCATGAATGGGGAGGTCACAGAGTCCTGGTTGGTGCGGTATTTTTGACTGCACTATTTTGATAGCGATTGTTACCCATTGTTCTCCGACCCTCAGCACTCCCACAGCAGAAGGGTCCTCTGAGAGACCAGGCAAGGTATTCAGTGGTATAATTTCCTCTGTCTCCAGAGTAGTTATCCCAAAAGCCCAACGATGCCCTTTTGGGTCCTTGAAATACCCTCTCCTGAGATCATCTATGCCAAGGATACACGGGACCTCCGAGCCAGTCACAATGGGGTGTTTTTGCCATTCATTCCCAGTCAAGCTCACTTCAGCTTCCAGTACAGTCAGCTGTTGGGATCCCCCTGTCATCCCAGAAATAGAGATGGATTCTGCCCCTACATATCTTGATGGCATCAGGGTACATTGTGTGCTGGTGTCAACTAAGGCTTTATACTCCTGTGGGTCTGATGAGCCAGGTCATCAGATCCACACAGTCCAATAGATCTAATTGTCCCTTTCCCCCATGTGGTTGGAGGCAGGGTCCCTCTGGTTCTGGTCATAGTACTCGTTGCTCATTTCTTGTAAATAGGAACTGGAGGTCCCTTCAAGCGGATTGGAAGTAACATCAGCCCTCATGTTCTGTCTCAGGACTTGCCCACTGGAAATTGGAGCAGCATTTATCCTTGAAGAATTTGGTTGTTGTTTGTTTGTTTGTGGTTGTTGTTCTTCCTCTCAACTGATGTACTTGTGCTGCTAGGGCAGATGTGGGTTTTCCATCCCACTTCCTTATGTCCTCTCTGTGGTCATGCAGGTAAAACCACAGATTACATCGTGGTGTGCACCCTCTCTCTTGAGCAGGGGGGTGCTTGCTTCCAATAGCAGAGACTCCGGTCCATACTGGTGAGGCATGAGATATTTCCTCTCTAGTTTTCTCGAGTCTTTCGAATATGTCCACAGTCTTGGTCAGTCTTTCCACAGCCAAGATGCAGGTTGATAGGGAGCAAAAGGATGATCTTCATATTGCTGTAGTTGGGTAGTCACCTGAAGCACTGTTTGTTCTCCTTCTTTCATTGACATCAGTGCCAATGAGTTGGTGCATGACAATGGTACGCTCTGTACAAACTTCTACCACATGGATCGTGTACACTGGACCTCATCTGGATCTACAGGGGACTGATTGTTATTTGAATCCCTATAGATTACCTCCACCACAGCTCATTCTCTCAGGTGCTGGATACCTTTCTCCATGGCATTCTACCTACCTGGGTGCACTACTAGATCATCCTTGAGAGAATACCTTTCCCTCATGCTTGACAGGAGTCGCCTCCAGAGGCTGAGAGTTTCTGTCCTCTTCCCAATCCCCTTGTCAATGCCCACATCCTGGGACAGGGATCCCAGTTGCTTGGCTTCACTACCATCTAGTTTCATACTGTGGGCCACAATATCCCAGCATTGGAGCAGCCAGGTCACCAGGGGCTCTCCTGACTGGCAGTTGAAATCTTTTCACATATCTCATAGCTCACCCGGGGATAGGGATCAGGTGATTATCTCCAGCCCTGCCTCTTCCTCCTGTTCTGAGGGCCCTGCTTCCTCTTTATCCCTCACTCAGTGAACTGATTTTGTCTTGGATTTCTTCTTCTGTATAGGGGCAACCGCTACTGGCACGGGTTGTTCCTCTGGTTCATCTGCAGTTTGAGTGGGTATGGTACCTGTTGGTCTTCTTTCCTCCTCCTCCCCCTGAGGGTGCTGTCTAGTGATGAGCAGTGTCCAATAAATAGTAGCCAGGGCCCAGCACATTGCATAACTTCGTGCCTCTCTGGAACTGCCACAGCATTTTTTCATCACATATTTTATCCCTTTAACAGGGTCCTGTATTTGTTCAGGGGTGAACTTTCAAACCATTGGAAAACAATAATCCTCCAAATACTGGCCCATGTCCTCCCACATTCCATGCCACTCATGACTATCCATCCTCAGGGCAGATCTCTGTATAACCTCCCTAGAAATCTCTGTCCTGACTCTAAACATGGTGTGGATCATGCTGAGGAGATCTGGCAGACTTAGCAATAAGAACATGCTTTTTTTAACATCCAAAAGGAATTCAAAATTCTCAAAAGCTGTTTTAACAGGTGTGAATGAGGAAAAGGGAGTGAAAAGTTGAGAAAGATCATACTCCCCTGTTCCCCCCACAGACTGGGTATGATTATTAATGGACTCCCAAAGGTACTGCCTGAGGTAAGGGTAGGAGAGCAACACTGAATACACATCCTAAATGACCCTCATTGCCCTTGATGTTATCATGTCATAAACTGATATCCCACAATACATCAACAAAGCAATCCTGATCCCTCTCCCTACTCTGAAAAAGAACACCGCAAGGAGCACATACAGGAGTATATACAGGATTGGGTACCACACCCACATGAACAGACCAATCACAGAGAATCACAGAATCAACTTGGTTGGAAAAGACCTCTGAGATGATCGAGTCCAACCTTTGACCTAACATTACCTTGTCTACTAGACCATAGCACTAAGTCCCACATTCAGTCTCTTCCTAAATACCTCTAGGGATGGTGACTCCGCCATCTCCTTGGGCAGCCCATTCCGTAGTCCAATCACTCTCTCTGTGAAGAATTTCTTCCTAATGTCTAACTGAAACCTCCGCTGGTGCAGCTTAAGACTGTGCCCTCTTGTCCTACTGCTAGTTGCCTGGGAGAAGAGACAGATACTCACCTGGTTACAACCTCCTTTCAGGTAGTTCTAGAGAGTGATAAGGTCTCCCCTGAGCCTTCTCCAGGTTAAGCAACCCCAGCTCCCTCAGCTTCTCCTCATAAAACTTGTGCTCAAGTCCCTTCACCAGCCTCGTTGCTCTTCTTTGGACATGTTCCAGCACCTCAATATCCTTCCTGAACTGAGGGGCCCAGAACTGGACACAGTACTCGAGGTGTGGCCTAACAAGTGCTGAGTACAGGGGAAGAATCACTTCCATGGTCCTGCTGGACACACTATTCCTGATACAGGCCAGGATGCCATTGGCCTTCTTGGCTACCTGGACACACTGCTGGCTCATGTTCAGCTTCCTGTCAATCAGAACCAAGCAATATTGTGACCAGTGGCTCCATACCTAATACAGAAAAATGCATAGATCAAATTTGTTTCCAACACACTCTAGGCAGATCTGTTATCTCAACCCTTCATGCCCCAAGTTGAATGTTAAATAAGGCTGTCGTGGTTTAGGAATGGTACTCCCCAATTTAGTGCCCCCACCAAGACTCTCCCAAACCAGACGCTGCTTGCTCCCCCTCCCCACCCTGACTGAAAGCACAAAAGGTAAAGATCACAGGTTGAGATAAGAACAATTTACTGGAAACAGTAATGAGGTAAGAAAACGAACAGTAACAGTAACAATATTAATAACAAGAGGTATAAGACAAAGAAATTATTTACATGGAAAAACATGAAAAAAACTGACTGACTCTTCCCAACCATGTTTTCTCCCGACTGGAAAAAGGACACCCTTCTCCTCTGTCGTGGTTTGAGAGTCCCAAAATCCAATTCTTGAGTTCAAGCCCCCCTCCCACATCTCAACCTAGTGTGAGATGGATTTCCAGACACCACATGAGACTCAGAATGGGGGAAAGGGATTATATATTACAATGCCTGTACAAATAAATAGTATAATACATCATATACAATCTTAACTACTTCTAAACTCTACCATGACAAAACAGTATTTACAATGGATCAAATCTCTTCTCCCCTCCAAATAAAAGTCCAGGAGGGAAGAAGGGAAGATCCTTTCTACTCTCAGTGCAGCAATGTCTCTAAGGCAGCAGGTTCTCTGTCTCTCTCTTCCATGCAGCAGCTGTAGCTGGATCTCTGCCAGTACACACAAGGGGGTATCCAAGCCCTCTCGGCTCATCGTCTCCAAGCGAGGGTCTTCTCTTCCATGGACTGCGTAGCAGGGACAAAACTCACTTCACCGCGTCATATCATGGAGTGTAAGACCCCGATGAAGGTCCCTTCCTCAGGGGATTCACCCCTGAGTCAGAACATCTCAGGCAGCTTTCAGTTGAAGGCCTTTGCCTCAAGAGTTCTATCAGAGCTTCTGTGCTCTGATCTCAGGTTGCTAGCTTAGTTTGGCAGCAGCGGCAAGGGGGGTCAAGGTCACCCCCTCCACATTACTTTAATCATCCCGGTCCATCTTTCCAGGACACCTGAGTTTTTCAGCTCCTCTCTGCAGTGCTGCTGCATTTAGGACTTCCATTCAGTAGGAGTCCATCATCTCCACTTAGGAAAGGTCACAAAAGGAGTTTGGGGTTTTTGGTTCCGTTCTTACCCAAACACTCTCTCTGTAGAGCTTAGTTTTGCTCTCTCTGCTGCCGGCTCTCTTTCTCGGCTCTCTCAGACAACTCTGTGTCTTCCTGCTCGGCTGCATGCTTGTTTCTGCTTCTTCAGTTCTTATCTCTTGGCTCACTGTCACTTTCTCCGGCCAGTGTTGTTTTTGCCGCCGCTTCTGCTTCTCATGGTGGAGAAAAAAAACTTCCAACTTCTCAGTCACAGACCTCAGTCCAGTTTAACACTGTTTCCGAATTTCTATGACCCCAGCTGGGGGCTGGGGGACCGTGGTCCCCCAGAGGGGCTCTTGTCCCTTCAGCTTGTGGTTTCAGAACATGGTCACCTCTCCAACTACAACATGGCTACTTCTTCAACAACAACTACAACTACCTTCTCTTCCGGTCTGCGTGTGATATGTTTATATTTTGCAGAAGTGCTCATTGGGTAAAACCTCAAGGGTCACCACCCCCTGGGGTTTTACCATTTTATAACCTCAGGGGGAAAACTGTTTCCCCCCACCACATCCTCCAAATCCGGAGACAGTCCCTTTCCCCCACCCCTGGCAATGACATGAGAGGGTATCAAATAACATTAAGGTCTGGTCACTCCCCTCTCCCGGTTTCTGTAAAAAATTAACCCTGTCCTGGCCGAAACTAGGACACATGTTATTAAACAGTGTCAAAATTAATGGAGTTATTCTAGATTTTCACTTTTGTGATCCAAGTGTTTAAAATAAAAATAATAACAAGATTGATTTTAACCATAACACTTTTGTTCTGATTCTTTCTTTAGTTTTGAATTTATATTATTTTATTTATAAAACTATATATATATATAAAGTATTATAATATATATTGCATAATATGATATAATGTGTATTTTTATATATATTTGTCATAATTTAACCCCATCTGGCAATTAAGCCCCATACACCAGCTTGCTTACTGCCCTCACAGTGAGATGGGCAAGAGACTCGGAGGGGTAAAAGTGAGAAAACTCGTTGGTTGAGACAGACAGTTTAATAGGAAAAGCAAAAGCCACATATGCAAGCAAAGCAAAATAAAGAATTAGTTCACTGCTTCCCATGGGCAGGCAGGTGTTCAGCCATAGCCAAGAAAGCAGGGCTCCATCACGAGTAATGGTGACTTGAGAAGACAAACACCATCACTCCACATCCTCCCCTTCCTTCTTCCCTCAGCTTTGTATGCTGAGCATGACATCATACAGTATGGAATATCCCTTTGCTCAGTTGGGGTCAGCTGTTCTGGCTGTGTCTCCTTCCAACTCCTTGTGCACCCACAGCCTACTCATTGGTGGTGTGATGTGAGAAGCAGAAAAGGCCTTGACTCTGTGTAAGCACTGTTAAGCAATTGCTAAAACATCACTGTATTATCAACACTGTTTTCAGCACAAATCCAAAACACAGCCCCATACTAGCCACTGTGAAGAAAATTAACTCTACCCCAACCAAAACCAGAACAATAGAACATATATAAATATATTTGCCTCACAAATACAAAACTTGTAACTGTTTGCATTTTTGATGCAATAAATAATTTCTTAGTATTCTGGAAAACTGTCCTACCATCTGGGAGTCAGGAGTCAGTCTGCAGAAAGAACTGTGGTGCTGTGGAATACATCCTGTGTAAGGAGGGGATGAGGAAGGCAGCTGCCCCAGGAGGATGCTAGCCTTCTCTGGGCTGCAGTTATTGCCTTCTTGTTAAGAGGATGTGCTGTTTCCCTTAGATATTTGGCTGGCTCTTCTGAATGGGCAGGGGCAACAGGGAGACCCATGAGCCAATGGCAGAGATAGTGGCACCTCTGGCAGCATTAGCTTCATAGCCCTCATCCCCTCTAAATAAAAGTTTGTACTGCCCTATAAAGGGTAGAGGAGGGGTGGGGGAACCTGGGAGTACTTTCCTCCTTTAGGCCGCGAGGAAGGGACCTTTCCTCATAAGCTTTGCATTTAAAAAAAATGCAGTAGAAAACTGTGCTCACAGGTTCCTTTAGCTTCTAGGATGGGTACTCAACAGTGCAGAAGCGAATGAAAAAGATTTTATCTCATCAGGAAGCATTATGTACTGATAATAATTGTCATTAACAAAATAATTTACATGCATCTTCTTGTGGTTTTGTTTTACAACCCTAGATTGGTGAATTATTGAGCACCACACACCCTGCCAACAAAGCCAGCTTAACTCTTTTCTGCCCTGAGGAAGGAGAATGGAAAAATTCCAACCTTGACAGACACAACCTTCAAGACTTTATTAACATTAAGCTCAACTCAGCTTCCATATTGCCCAAAATGGAAGGACTCTCTGAATTCACTGAGTATCTGTCAGAATCAGTAGAAATGCCATCACCCTTTGACATTTTGGAACCTCCAACTTCAGGAGGTTTCTTGAAACTCTCCAAACCCTGCTGTTATATTTTCCCTGGTGGAAGAGGGGACTCTGCATTGTTTGCAGTGAATGGATTCAACATGCTTATCAATGGAGGATCCGAAAGAAAATCTTGCTTTTGGAAACTTATCCGGCACTTGGACAGAGTAGATTCCATTCTACTCACTCACATTGGAGATGATAACCTGCCAGGAGTCAATAGCATGCTTCAACGAAAGATAGCTGAGTTAGAAGAGGAACAGTCCCAAGGGTCTACTACCAACAGTGACTGGATGAAAAATCTGATCTCACCTGATTTAGGAGTCGTATTCCTTAATATACCTGAGAACCTGAAGAACCTGAATCCTGACTTTAGAGTAAAAAGGAGTGTAGAAGAAGCTTGGTTTACTCTCCAGTATTTAAATAAATTGTCTATGAAACCAGAACCTCTTTTCAGAAATGTAGGGAATACCACTGACCCCATCATTTTATTTCAGAAAATGGGAGTTGGCAAACTTGAGATGTATGTGCTTAATCCTGTTAAAAATAGCAAAGAGGTGCAATATTTTATGCAGCAGTGGAGTGGTACTAGCAAAGATGAAGCTGAATTCCTGCTACCAAATGGCCAAGAACTAGACATTCCATTATCCTATTTCACCTCTGTCTCATCCCTGATTGTATGGCAACCAGCTAATCCTGTAGAAAGAATAATCCGAGTTCTGTTTCCTGGAAACAGTACCCAATATAATATTCTAGAAGGACTAGAAAAACTCAAACACTTAGACTTTCTTAAACAACCAATGGTTACACAAAAAGACCTAACTGGAAACATTGCTAGTCCATCTGTGAAACAAGCAAAATTGAAACAGCGAACAGACAGCAAGGAGAGTCTGAAGTCTGCTGCAAAGACACCAAGCAAGTCTGTCAGAAAGGAATCTAAAGAAGAAACACTGGAACCTGCAAAACCTAGTCCAGCACTGGAAAAGCTTCAGAAATTGGAAAGCAAAGAAAAAGTTCCAGTTAAAAAAGAGAAACCAGCAAAAGTGGAGACCAAACCTATAGTGGCAGAAAAAGATGTAACAAGTAAAGAAGAGCAATTAGTAAAATATGAAACTCCTGAAAAACAAGTTACAGATGTAAAACCAAAAGTGGTAAAGGACAAGTCAGTGAAAAAGGAAGTCAAAGCAAAACCTGAAGAAAAGAAAGAGGAAAAAGAAAAACCAAAGAAAGAGGTTTCTAAAAAAGAGGAGAAAACACCCATCAAAAAAGAGGAAAAACACAAAAAAGAAGAGATTAAGCAAGAAGTTAAAAAAGAGGTGAAAAAGGAAGAGAAGAAGGAAACTAAGAAGGAAGCAAAGAAAGAAGTTCCACCAAAGGAAGTTAAAAAAGAAGGTAAAAAAGAAGAGAAGGAAATTAAGAAGGAAGAAAAAGGAATCAGAAAAGACATCAAGAAGGTTCCTAAAGAAACAAAGAAGACTTCTGTTCCTTCGACTGAAGTCAAAAAGCCAGCAGCAAAGCCTAAACCACAAAAGAAGGAGGAACCTGCTAAAAAAGAAGCAATATCTGCTGGAAAGCCAAAGGAAAAAGTAAAAATTAAGACTGTGAAGAAGGAGATTGAAATCAGTGGAGCTCAAGTTGCCCTTGCAGCAGTTGGAACCACTACCACCACTGTAGCAGCTGCAGAAATTACAGCTAGTGAAAAAGAACTTCAAGTTGAGAGATCCCTTATGTCTTCACCAGAGGATTTAACAAAGGATTTTGAGGAATTAAAAGCTGAAGAAATAAAAGCAATAAAAGAAATGAAACCTCAAGTTGCACTTATAGAAGATGAACTGAAACTCACTGGCACAGAACAAAAGGAGGCCTTTGAAGTCCAAAAAGAAAAATTAGATAATGAAGGACCTGCTGAGTCCTCTGATGAAGGCGTAACCACCACAGAGGCTGAGGGTGAGTGTGGACAAACACCTGAAGAATTGGAATCTGTGGAAAAGCACAAGGTTGATGATCATGAAAAGTTTGAAGATGAGGGAACTGTCTTGGAAGAATCATATGAAGGAGGATATTATGAGGAAAAGGCAGAGACAGAAGAAGCTGAAGAACAAGGTGAAGATGAGAAGGTAAAGACACAACTGGTCACCACAAAACCATATATGAAGAAAGCAAGAAAAATGGAAGAGAGTTCAGAAGAAATAATGACTGAAGCAGATGCTAATATTAAAGCTGAAAAATATATTGAAAACGCAAATGATGAGGCATCAGATGAACAGGTTGAGCAAGACAGGGAAGAAGCAGTAGAAAAGGCAGAAACTGAAGAGACTGAAGAAGAGGAAGAAGACAAAGCAAAAGACATTAGAGATGAAGAGGAAACTGAAAAAATAGAAGCTGAAGAAGATTATGTGATGGCTGTGGTAGACAAAGATGCAGAAGCTGGTGAAGTTGAAGATAAATATGGTCTACTCACACCAACAAAACACTCAGAGCCTCAGTCTCCAGCAGTTGAACTGGCTTCTTCTATTCGTGATGAAACATTACCTGGTGGTTCAGAAAGTGAAGCCACTGTTTCTGATGAAGAAGATAGGGAAGATCCACCTGAGGAATTCACTGCTACTTCAGGTTATACACAGTCTACCATTGAAATATCCAGTGAACCAACTCCAATGGATGAAATGTCTACACCCCGTGATGTCATGAGTGATGAAACTAACAATGAGGAAAGTGAGTCACCTTCTCAAGAATATATGTACATTACCAAGTATGAGACATCACTGTACTCTCAAGAATTTACTAGACCTAAACTTTCTCCACTTCCAGATGCTTTTAATGGATTATCAGAGGGATCCAAAACAGAGGCCACAGAAGGTAAAGACTATAATGCCTCAGCTTCTACCATCTTGCCACCTTCTTCATTAGAGGAAGACAAATTCTGTAAATCTGCATTCCAAGATGTATACTGTCAAAAAGGAAATGAAGTCCAAGGCACTGACAAATTAGAAATCAAAGAAGCCTATCCAGAAGATGATGGAAAACACAGTCCAGTCAAGACCCCAGCTAAGAGTTTGTCCCCTCCATCACCTATTGCCAAAACACCACTGGGTGAACGCAGTGTGAACTTTTCACTCACTCCCAGTGAGATCAAGGTCTTGGCTGAACCTGTATCCATTGATACATTGTCTGATGTACATCAAGAAGTTGCCAAAGAGCACTGTGCAAGCCCTGATGATAAAACGTTAGAAGTAGCATCTCCCTCACAGTCTGCTGCTGGTAGTGCTGGCCACACGCCTTATTATCCATCTCCCACTGATGAAAAATCCAGTCAGCTTCCCTCTGAAACCAGTGAAAAGTTAACAGAAGTTCCTGTTATCTTTGAACTCAGTGAAGACAAAGATCAGTCTGCAAAACCCAGAATAAGCCCTATGGATGAGCCTGTGCCAGATTTAGAATCTCCTATTGAAAAGGTTCTCTTGCCTCTACGGAGTCCACCACTGATAGGTTCAGAGACCACTTATGATACATTTTTGAGTGCTGATGTAAAGTCCTCCACCAGAGATTATGGAAATCCTTCTGAGGGTAAACCTGAAAAAGAAAAATCACCTGTTCAGATGAGTCCAGCTTCTGAAGTCAGCTCTGTGGACCTTTTCCAAGAAAAACAAGATGAAAAAAGCATGGAGTTTATGGTAATTAAGGAAGGTTTAAGCCTAGAAAGGAAAATGGGGGATACAGAACCCAGCAACTCCCAGTCTTCACTGGTCTTGGATGAGCAGAAGTTAGTAGGTGATCTCTCACCTACTCAAATAGATATTGGTCAGTTTGGTTCCTTAAAAGAAGACA